AATCTAAAATAAATCGGAGTACAAAAATAGAATTAGGATTTCCACAGGCAGCAATATTTGCTGATGGAGCTCGATAACCGAAAAAATACTAAAAATAATTATATACGTATTAGTGTATTACCATTGATTATAAATACTATTATTACAGTATTTAAATTTTATAATCAATGGTATTACGTAAGAATGTCAAGTTCCTGTGTGAAAATTTCTGAATTACAAGTTACAAGTTTACAACAAAATAAAATAAACGCCTAAGTATAAAAAAACTAAAAACGGTACTTGTTTCTTGTTTGTTATTGCCGTATAAAAGTAGTAGTACACCGTATAAAATTTATCTCCCCGCCAATCTTGATTGTTATCGCCCCGCCACATAGTTATCGTGTTTAGCTCTCGTGATAGGTGATATATTTTGGAAAATATTTTAGGAAATAACTAGATTTTGCGAGACATTTTGCATCATAAAAATATATTAGTACGTTAATATTATTATTTTTTTAAATTTATAATTATGATACAATTTTTAAATTTTTGTATTGTTTATTTTATTGTAATATATTTTATTTATGGCGAGGCGATAACAAACAAGTATCAAAAAAGGTTAACGAACAAATTATGCGGGATCTTTCACACCTTCAAACTTTTTTGATTGAGCCTCCAAATTTTATCAACTCTAAAATCGATACTTTTTAATGCTTATAAAGTTATAAATTACTTTAAATTACTTTTTATAAAATAAATGCTATGACGTGCATCGAAGTTAAACATTTTTTGCTCCAAATGTGGTAACMGATAAAAATAAAAATGATACTTACCATCATTGTGAAATCAAAAATATTTATCGCTTCACTCATCGATAGATGTGTCATGGTGGGACTATTTGGAACTGTAAAAATTTCAATAATAATTTAACGTAAATCCAATAACGAGAACTATAATAAAGTATATAAACTATAAAGAYTGATCAGTGTTTCGTTTTTGTAAAACTAAAGTAAAATATTATTAACTGCAGCATATAGATAATAATATAACATAATTATACCTATTATGATATTAGTATTATCAATGCTGTAGAGTAAATATGACTTATTTTTATTCTGCTTACCTATACAATAATAGGTACCTACTCTAATTTAAATCA